GTACCAGTAGTAGTAGCAGTAGTAGTCCTAGTAGTATTTTGAGAAGAGATGCACAGTCCTAGTTGAGGTTCGACGATTCCTGGCCCCTCCTGAAGACAGGATCATGCTATTCCCCCTCATACGCCCAAAACAATAGGGCTAGAATATACACCAAAACCCTAGGCTAATCATACTAGCCCCTAGCTAAAGTGCTACCGCTATCGCAGGGTTTGAGCCTTCGGTAGCTCCACGATTTGGTGCTTGGCCTCATCTTTCAGGATTTCCCGGGTCCCAGCACAGAAGAGTAGGCTGAGGGTCATAGGATTTCGGGTTTGGGGCAGTCATCTAGGGCATGGGCGACCGACGGCTCCAACAGTATACCTATAGACGCCCTCAGCCTGAAAGCTTTGCCGGGCTTGGGTTTCAGGGTCCCTAAACCCTAAACCCTAAACCCCTAAACCCTAAACCCTAAACCCCTAAACCCTCAACCCTACTTAGTTCCCTTCGAATTTTAGGAGGATTTAGATTTCCGTGTGGTGCCTCGGCCCCAAACCAAAGCCCTCGGCCGGAAGGCCTTGAATGATGCAGCCGTTGCCGAAAAGTGAAGTTTAGGGTTTAGGGGTTAGGGTTTAGGGTTTAGGGTTTAGGGTTTAGGGTTTAGGGTTTAGGGTTTAGCGCTGCAGCCAAGTCTGAAACTTACTGCCATGAAGCTCACGAGCAGCCGGCCTGAACAAGTGGGGCTGGGGCTAGGTGGTTTAGGGTTTAGGGTTTTGGGACGATAATCTGCATAATTAAAGACGATGAAGGATAGTATTACCAATCACCCGGGCCCCTGCTGCAAAGATGCACCCGGCAAAGCAAGCGCAGGCGACAGTTTTTTTTTGCGTCAGTTGTGCGGGTTACAGAGGGTTTCGGACAAAGTGCAAGTGGTTCGTATGCCATACACGGATGCTTTGAGCAGAAACATCTTAAACACACCCTCAACCCCAAAGCACGCACCCCAAACCCAAGACCCCAAACCCTAAACCCTAAACCCTAAACCCCTAAACCCTAAACCCTAAACCCTAAACCCTAAATCCTAAACCCTAAACCTTAAACCCTAAAATCTAAAACCCCAAAACCCGAAAACCCGAGATTTCAAACCCCAAAGCCCTATACCCTAAGTTGATTCATCGCCTTGAGCTCCCAACTTCGACTCGTGGTGCAAGGAATTCTGAGCTTTGAGGAAATGTACTCGGTTTAGGGTTTGGGGGTTAGGGTTTAGGGGTTTAGGGTTTAGGGTTTAGGGCTAGGCTTTTGCGGTACTTACTTCGTGTCCTGCATGTAACGAGGATCCGACCTCTTTCGCATGTTTGCTTTGGGGCGCATTTCCACTTCCACTTTGGCTTGGTCAGGCGCCGCGGGCCTAAACCGGACGCGCTGCTGGTCTACTGCCCCCCAAGGCTGTCTGGGCGCGGCATAGCAGCCGTCAGTTATGGGTTATAAGGTTTGCGCAATCTACAGTGCAAAGTTTAAGGTCGGGGGCTGTCGCGTTTGCGGCACTGCATTTAGAGAAACCGGCAAAGCTGCCACTGGTTTCAAAGTAGCTGCGGTAATTCGTCGTCTGTCAGCATAGAAAGCGGCCACTCAGGACACTCAGTGTCCCTAGCTGCTGTAGGTTTTTTAAAAACCTTGCCCGTGGCGCTCGTAGGGAAAATCTACACCCGAGCTTGAGCTCGACGACACTGTGACATGTACTGCTCCAAATCACGGTCCCTTTTCGGGTCCTTTTTTTATAAGGGTGCCGTACTATCCTGGGGACCTGAAAAGGGGCCCTCGTTTGCAAAAACCCCACATGGGGAAGGCTATATCATAGGCCCTGTGATACCATACGCGGAATCCCGTGATGAGGCGTTGTCTCTGCCCTCGTTTGAGGGAGATCAGGCGCCCGCAGGCACCAAGAAGGTGTACACCCGCCGTCACACAATTCGATCCAGCCATAAGAAAAGGCGCACATCAATGTTGTACAGGTGGCAAATAGTACAGAGGCCAACAAGCTGTATCCTCAGCTCAGAGGCATTGGGATCCAAGACTGTTTAGGGTTTAGGGTTTAGGGTTTAGGGTTTAGGGTTTAGGGATGTAAGCATTCCAGATGATCAGAACGCCTGATATAGACGCCTGAATAGTTGCCAATGGTCCTTGAGATTCCTTCTACTCTAACTATACCCTAACCCTCTCCAACCCTAAACCCTAAACCCTAAACCCTCTTGAAGGAGCCCTGTTCTGCCCGAAGCTGAGCATCGGTATGAGACTTCTCCGACGACTGCCCCAACGAGGAAGCAGAGGCCGACCATGACGTACACAGCAAGGGTGCGCCTTGTAGCAGCATCAGCAGGAGTAGTAGTAGTAGTAGTAGTAGCAGTAGCAGTAGCAGTAGCAGTAGCAGTAGCAGTAATCGTCGTCGTTGTAGTCGTTGTAGTCGTCGTCGTCGTCGTCGTCGTCGTCGTCGTCGTCGTAGTAGTAGTAGTAGTAGTAGTAGTAGTGGTGTAAGCCGACATTCGCCGCTCCCACCGAATAACTTGAAGCAGAGGTGCATGTAGTTGCAAAAACCCGGCTCGAACGGCATGGCAAAGCGGTCACAGAGGTGGTACAGCAGCTTCAAGCACACCATGACCCAGCACAGCGTCACGCCGTAGACGTGGCCGATCAAAGAAGACAAAACCTGGGTGAAGCTTTCGATAGCTGCTGCTTTGCATGGTCGCACCCTGAAAGGACCCAAACCTGTGTGGATCGATGTAGAAAGTCGCCTGAAGCATGTGGCCCTCTAACTGGAGGCCACGGGCGACTGTACCATGGGGGTTTCCGAAAATAGGGGACCCTAATATAGTACCCGAAATAATAGGATCCTTATTATAAGGACCCCAAAATAAGGTACCCCTAATTTTCGGAAACTCCCCCATCGTCATACCTGCTAGTTGTCAGGCTCGTACCATTGCTTTCGCTAACCAGGCATGGCAATCCGGCCCATGACACGGTTTAGGGTTTAGGGTTTTAGGGTTTAGGGTTTAGGGTTTAGGGTTTAGGGTTTAGGGTTTAGGGTTTAGGGTTTAGGGGTTTAGGGCCCATGAATAAGGACTGGCAAGTAGCAATAGCAAGAACAAAAAACGTAGCGGTGCCGATCACTACGACCACTCCGATTGGTGACGGTGCTGGTCGTCAGTATCGGTAGTAGTGCATCGTTAACGTATAGTAACTGCTGCTTTACTTCGCGCGGTTGTGTTGCCAATGCCGGCGCCATCGCCATTTTGGTTGCTTGTAGTTTTTGTCCTAGTCGTTCTCACCGCTTGGTCGTCTCTGCAATAACTTGCTGCATCCTGCTCTGTACGAGTAGGGTCACCTTTCCTCCTTGTTCGTTCTTTGGAGTACACTGTAATTCGGACCGCTCGGGTACCGACTGCATGATTGCTCCTGCGCTGTTGCCGCTGGTACTGGTAGCTACACTGCCAGTGTCTCTGCGACCACGAAGATGACCGGAACCTAGAATCATTGTTACAACTCTCACGCCTATCTGGACCAGGGTCTCTGATCCGTCAGGGTGGATGCTTTGAGGCTTTACCTGGGGCCTAGAGCCTAAGAATCAGATAGTTACCCATATGGTAGTTGCCCGTATGGTCATGATGATAGTGCCCTGATAGTAGAAAGCCTTCATACTACGGTTGATGATATAAAGCCTACATTACCCATAATTAATAAGGAATATACCATAATTCCCATAGTTTAGGGTCCTTAAGGTAATGCAGGATTTATATCATCAACAGTAGAGCTGTGAGGTTTGCCGCCATGCAGCTACATCCGTTGGTGCGCCACCCCGCGCTACCGCCATGCACTCCTCCAGAGAAACGCTCACCTGAAACCGAAGGGGTTTAGGGTTGTAGGGCTCATATAGGTGGTTGTCAAAATTAGGGTCCCTTTTTGTGGTACCCTAATAATAAGTGTCGTATTATAATAAGGACCCAAAAAGGGACCATAATTTTGACAACCACCCATAGAAGCCTGAATAGTTACCAATACTATTTTGGGGTTCCTTGCTATAATTATAGTAAAACCCTATTCTAATTGTTAAGGCCCCTACATTTCTGTAAAGGATTAAGGGTTGCCATACGGGCTACTTTCAGGATAAGTTTGTCTTACTTCCCCAAGAGCCGAACCGCATCCCAGTCATGATCCCGATTCCCGATGCGTCCCAAAGGCCTGTCGTTTTGACCAAGGTCTTTTGCTTAAGGTGGGCCTTCTCATATTATAGTACAGTTCCTATAGTCTCCATTGTAGTTCCTTTTTTGGTTTAACCACAACTACAATGGAGACTCTGGAGACTACAGGTTGTTGCTGAGGTACCTATATTCGGTCTTCTAGAGCTATGAGGTTGTCAAAGTTGAGGGCACTACGCTATCTGAAAAGGAAACTCCGACTGTCCGGAGGCTGTGAGTTCTGCCCCCTCAGGAAGTATAAACTTATAAACAATCCCTTCGCGCTTGAAGCAGGGATACTGCACCAAAAAAGCCCAAATTGATCCTTGTCTTAATTGAAGCCTTCAGTCAGTGCGGTTTAGGGTTTAGGGTTTTAGGGTTTAGGGTTTAGGGTTTAGGGATTGCACAGTCAACTTTGACATCCCGAAAAAGCCCAAGACATCAGACCTTCCTGAAAGCCAAGTTTGGAAACATCCAAGGCATGTTGCCGTTATCGTCGCCAGCAGGAGGCAGTAACCAGGTGAGATTGTCACCTGGGTTGGCACCCTAAGTCCTAAACCCTAAACCCTAGCCGCTGAACTATTGGCAAACGACGGACCCTAGAGCACTACCTGGCCTACCCCTAAACCCCAAAACTCCTAAACTCTGAAATCCTAAATCCCAAAACCCCCAAACTCCAAAACCCTAAACCCTACACGCCCATGAACCCTAAAGGCCCTAAAGGCCCTAAACCCTAAACCCTAAACCCTAAAGACCCCTAAACCCTAAAGACCTAGTCGCTTCAGGGATCTCCTGCGCAAGCGTCTCCTGGACGAAGTGCTCGAAGGCTGCCGTACTTCCATACCTTGGCTCAGGGGGTTTAGGGTTTAGGGTTTAGGACTTAGGGTTTCGGGTTTAGGGTTTAGGGGGAATTTGGGCTTTGGGTTGTGCTCAGGGTCGGGCAGCTACCACGACACTCTACTGTAGACTATATAGTGCACTAAGCTATACTCCTTGAGCAGTTTGGGGTTAAGGGGTCCAGGGTTTAGGGGATAACCCTAAACCCCTAAACCCTAAACCCTAACCCTGTTGGAAACCTAGCGTTTTGGGGGGGCTTTAGATGCTTATTAGCTGGAACATGGTTTGGACTACAGTGTAATGTGGGTGCGAGACGTGAAGAAAATGGGTATAGAGTATACTGAGCTATACCCCTAAACCCTAAACCCTAAACCCCTAAACCCTAAACCCTGAACCTTAAACCCTACACTCAGGGTATATAGTATACTGAGCTATACTCGTTTGGGATCTTCTGGTGCAGTATCTGAAGTAGCTTCGGCGGGCTTTGGACTGAGGACCGGCACCGCAAAGGACAAGTCTGCGGCATCTAGGGCCACGTAGAGTATCTATCTATCTATCTATCTATCTATACTATACCTTAGTGTACTCTACTGAATTACAGAGTACAGAGTACTATACCCTACTATAACAGATGATAAAAGTGTCATATAGTATATAGTATAGTACAGGTTCGTATAGCATAGTATAGTATAGTACGGTACCGCAGAGCATCGTAAATATAGAGTAGAGCAGAGATAGTAAATGCTAGACCCTACTAAGAGGATCGTCGGGCTTAGTCAGTGGGTCCATAAATAAGGTAGCTCTACTTGCAACTACTTAGAACTTCCTCGAAGGTACTTCTTCTAACCTTACTTGCTACGTCTCGCCTCAAACCCTCTACTGCAATGCTCTGAAGCCCTTAAAGAACCGTGAAGGCACTCCTCTACAACCCCATATCCTTGCTTACTAGGTCTCCTGATCCTCCAAGTTCGGAGTTTGGATTAGAGGGAAATCTTGGGGATATAGACCCTCTCAATCAAGAGAGCCAGAAGTAGGGTTCAGAAGGGTCCTCTTTAAGGGGTCTCCATAATACTACCTAGGACAAGTCGAACCCCAGCCCGCTAAACGTCCAAGTGCCAGGATTGAATCGCTGTGTGGACAAACATCGCATCAAACTCCTCCAGTTTTTGAAAGGGTTTAGGGTTTAGGGTTCGGGGTTCGGGCTTAATTCAGGAGCAAGGTTTAAGGGTTTAGGGTGTAGGCGGAGCTTAGACTTTTGGGGCTGTTGGGGTTTAGGGCTTAGGAAACTGTTGGTGCTAACACCCTTTCTCAGGGGTTCCTTTTAAGGGCAGCGGCGCGGACCCGGCACTGGGTTTTCGTCCTACGGTGAGTTTCCGCTGTCGCTTTGGGGGGTACAAGCTTCTGTTGCCATCGAACGTAGGACGCTCTCAGGACCGAAACAGACCGAAACAATGAAGCAGCGACAATTGTTCAAAAAGTCACGATATCCCTCTATCGTCCGCCTCTGTATACATAAACAATCTCGAACTCTAACTCATCCAAGACCCGATTCTACTTACTGCGGCCCCTATGCAAGACGCTGCAAAACCCAGACAAACCCCATTAAAGTCATTCAGCGGCTCTGATTAGCAAGGTCCCTATACGCGCAACAAAAAGTTGAGCTCACCCTAAACCCTAAACCCTAAACCCTAGACCCCAAACCCTAACCCTTCAGTGCAAGTTGGCGGTTGGCGTGTCGAGGACGGTGGCAAACAAATGACAACTCCCATCTCGCACCCCAGCTCGGCCTTCTATGACGACGACGGGGTTTAGGGTTTAGGGGTTTAAGGGTTTAGGGTTTAGGGTTTAGGGTTTAGGGTTTAGGGTTTAGGGTTTAGGGTCCAGGGTCTAGGGTCTAGGGTCGAGGGTTTAGGGTTTAGGGTGTAGGGTTCAGGATCCAATGCTGCTACTGCGACGACCACCGCCACCACCATCACCACCACTACCGGCGCCAAACACAGAGAAACGCGGCAGAGGACCCTCAAACTCCTAAGGCTTCGAAAACCCTAAACCCTAAACCCTAAACCCTAAACCCTAAACCCTAAACCCTAAACCCTGATCCTCCACCCCCGTCTCCCAAGATCGAAATCCTTGCATCCGTGCTTCTAGCCTTTGGCCTCAAGTCCTGAAGCCCCCGGTGCCTGCAGCTGATCACCAAATTTAAACTCTGCACGGTTTAGGGTTTAGGGTTAAGGGTTTAGGGTTTAGGGCCCGGTAGCCCTAGGTGCCCAGCCGGTGAATCACCAAGTACTTGTACTGTAAGAGCCTGAATTCATGGTAGTCTTCCCTGGGGCTCCTTCTTGTGAGTATGCCGTAATTTTAATGCACCCCAAAAACTTTCTTCTACTTTTTGCGGAAGAATTTCTGAACTCCTATAGTAGAGCTTAGCAGAACCCTTTAAAGGAGCCCGAGTCTCTCAATATAGACACCCTAAATCTTAACCGAAAACCTAAACCCTCAACCCTAAACCCTTAAACCCTTAAACCCTAAACCCTAAACCCTAAACAATTAAACCCTAAACCCTAAACCCTAAACCCTTCAACCCTAA